ATATTGCTTGCAATATTTCAGCTAGAGAAAAACTGAATGACAAACTTTGGGGTAAGCAGATTTTTGAAAAGGCGCTGTCATTGGATAATTCTGATGACGAACGTAATCTAATCGAAGACTGTATGAGTAAGTGTCTACGAGTCACATAACAAAAAAGGATAGGTCGCGCGCAGCCGCGACTTAATCCAGTGTTGGACAAGCCCGAAGGCTGATCTCTATATAAAGTAAATAACTCGATTCGAAAGTGGTTTTTTGCGAAGTGTAAATCTATGGCGATTTTCGGCAGGCCAAGGGAAACCGCCGCCCTCAATATTTTGACAGGTCGTGGATTAAATCAAATGGACATAATTTGTTTTTGGCCTCCTGAATATGTGAATGGCTTAACCGCTTAAATCAGTCAACTCGTTCGCCAGGATCGTTTTTCGGGTAGCTGACTAAACAGGAGTAAGCTCATGGGTTTACGGCAACTGGGACACAGATGCGGTTTTTTTAAAACAGCCGTTACAGGCCCAATCGCTACTTTCAATAAAAGCTGTATTCGTTGCAAAGTCGCTTTAGCCAGGCAATGCAAAAAACCATAATCCCGGGCCCTTCTAAAACCTTTGGGTAAAACATGTTGAAGCACGAGCCATAAAAACTTCACCGCAGATTCAGTCCTGATTCTCCAGGTGCCGGTTTTGCTCTCCTGGTACCGGAAACTCACTTCACCCTGCTCATGACGGATGATATTTTTTTCATTAATGACGCCTCGATAAAGATAACGAGCCAGGTATTTTAAAGCGGGTTCTCCACTACCCACATGCTGGCACTGAGCGACCCATTTTTTGGGTAAATGCTGGGGATAGGTTAAGCCCTTTTTCTTAAGTGCGGCCAGGAACTTTGCCCGGAAGACTTTGGCTAAGGCAAATTCATTGAACAGGTAGTCACCGGTTTTCGTGTGCAGGCTTGCCGTCTTTTTATGGAACGAACTGGCAGGCACGATCAGGTGTATGTGCGGATGATAATCCTGTCGCCGATTGTTGGTATGCAACACCGCCGTCAATCCCAACGATCCCGCTAACTTCTTATCATTTCCGGCAAAAGTGTTTAAGGTGTCAGCAGCGGCTTCGAACAAAACCGAGTAACACAATCGTTGATGATGCCAGACCCACTGCCGGATCTCATAAGGCAGCGTGAAAGTCACCATAAAATAATTCACCGGCAGTAGTTTCTGCAGCTGCCTCGCAAGCCACTGGCCATTGCTCTGATGTTGACACTTTGGACAAAACCGATGGCCACAGGAATGGTAATAGGTTTGCATTTGATGACAGGGATCACAACGATAAGTCATTTCACCATAAGCCAATGTGCGGCAATCGATCAGGGCGCGTAATGCAAAATGATGCTCTGGTCTCATCAGATGCCCAAAGTCATGAATCAGTGACTGCCGGTACTCCCGTGCCAGTTCGGCCAGGGCAATCATGACTTCACCCAGTCAATCGACAGTTGATCGACCAGAGCATTGAGCATCAACGCGCTGTTTTGCTGGGCCTGTTCAGTCATGCGCGTATACTTTGCGGTCGTCACCGGACTGGCATGACCTAAAAACGCCTGGATAGAACGCAGGCTAACACCCGCCTCAAGCAGGTGAGTGGCAATGGAGTGTCGCAAAGTATGAATATGCACGTTCTTCGAGATGCCGCATTCCTTCGCCACGATCTTGATCGCCTTCTGCACACCGCCTTTATCCATATGCAGTGTCTTACCCTGTCGGAAGTGCGGTGGCTTGCCACCGGGAAAGATCAGTTCTGGATGTCGGTGCGTCGCCCAATAGAGGCGTAAAGCTTTCAGGGTCGCCAGAGGCAAAGGCACGAAACGATGCTTGTTGAATTTACATTGGCGTAAATGTACTCGCATTAACGTGCCGTCAATATCTGGGATGCGAAGCTGCAAGGCTTCCGATAAACGCAACCCCAGGCTATAGGTGGTCAGGAAATAAACCTGATAGCTGAGTTTACGGGTCGCATTGATAATGGCGTTCAGTTCAGACATCGACAATACGTCCTGCAAGGGCTGGACTTTGGGCGGCTTAACGATGTTGACCCATTGCCACTGTCGATTCAGCACATGCCGGTAAAAGAACTGGAAAGCATTACGGTCAATCTTGACCGAACTCCAGGAATGAGATTCAACCAGTGCTAGAAAGTATTGCTTTAACTGTTCAGTGGTTATCGTATCCGGGCAGACATCGAAAAACTCAGTCAACCGCCTGAGACTACGTGAATACATTTCAATGGTCTTTTCGCTTTTACCTTGTAGGGTTAATTCGTTAATATGACGTTGATACAACTCGTCGAAACGGATTTGATCTTCATGGTTCATCATCTTCTCCACAGTGATAAACACACCGACATTGGTATGCTTACCCGGGATTATCTATGATGCGCATTTCTGCCGCTTTAGCGGCTTCGTCCAACAAGCGCTGTTGTCGGAATCACTCGCTGCGCTCGCTCTCCGCAAAGCGCGGCGTTAGCTGTTGATATGGAAGTCTGGTAAAAATAATATGATGGCATTCGTTTTTAACACACATTTTACTTTTCATTCTGCGGCTAAAGTTCTACACGCCTCATGCGTTCACTTGCGCGTGTTGCATCAGTCATCGGCCTCGCTGAAGCTCGTGAACTTAATCCCAATTTTTTCATGTTCAAATTTTCACGGTTTAATGGCAAAGGTTTTGAAAGTGCCATCGGTACTAAGCGTGGATTTCAATTCAGGTGCACGCAAAGCGTGTTTAAACATTGGCCGGTTGAAAGCATCCCAATCATCGTGCCATACTCAAACAACAATGGTTTTACCCTCAGCTAACAAACGGCTCAAATGGAATCGGCGAAAAAGCGCGCCTCTCCATTTAGCCGGGCGTTAGAAAGACGGGGTGTCAAAGGTTTAACGAAATCGCTAGGGGCAATTAATATTAATTTGCGATCAAATTTT